GAGAGGTTTTCGCTATAGGGCGCGTGCACTTGCCAGACAGACATAGAGACAGAAAGCGAAAAATCACCCCCCAGGGGGGATGGTCATGCTGCAATCCCTTCTCCTCCATTCTCCTCTTGGGATCTTGGGCATGCACGCACACGCGCCCGGCGTGAGTTTTAAGCCACCGGGTCCAGGACGCGAACCGCGGTCGACTACGTGGGAGTCCAGCGACATAGCCATTACGCTAACTGCTGGTTCCCAGAAGAGAAGGTTCTTGATGAACATGTTTTATTTTATCAAATGGAAGAAACAAAACAGCAAGTCTGCCTTTGCTTCACCTTGAAGATTAAACTCCTTGTCAATTTATACTTCCTCTGGCTTCCCAGTTCCAGATTAGGGGATCTAGGGATTTGGGCTTTAAGGGGTGAAGGGAGGCTGGCAGGACATGCAGACTCACTTGAGCAGGATTTCATACTGGCCGGCGTGCCAGGGCTGCACATTCTTTAGAACCAGGGTGAACACATCCTCATTCTGTAGCACCTCGAAGTGGCCAGCATCTTTGGAGAGAGATTTGCCATCTCGGAGCCAGTGCACGGTGGGGAAGGGGTCACCAGCTATGGCACAGGAGATGAGGACACTCTGGCCCAGGGAGGCTGTCACTGAGCGAGGCTTGCTGATGAACCAGGGCTGTGTGCCGTCATGAGGTTCTGGAAGTTGGCAAAAGGGTAGAGCTGGAGAGGAAGGTCCTCCAGCAGACAACATATTACCCAATAACAGCTTGTCCAGAAATCACATCGAATGGATGTACAAATACCACACATCCATGGTGCAAATCTGTCTTGGTTACATTCTCAGAGAATGTTGACATGAATTTGTATTCCCAAGCTAGGGAAGAAGCCCAGAAGGTACAGAGGCACTGGTCTAGGTGCTAATAACTTGCATCAGATGTGTATGATTAAGAACTGTTGAGAAACTGTTGCTGGCTTTCTTTTTAAAAAATGTATTGTAGGACTCATGTGCTTGCTGGAGAGAGACAGAGACAAAATGAGAAAGTATCTCTCAGGGGTGATGGCCATGCCACTGTCCCTTCTCCTCCATTTTCCTATTGGGATTTTGGTCATGCATACACACATGATTGGCATGTTCCTCAAGCTGCCGGGTCTGGGACTCAAACCACACAGCTGGTCAGGAGGGATCAGCTGCTTTAACCACACCACCTGGCTGGCCTGAGAACCATTGCCTGCCCTATGTGTGCTTACCTTACCTCTTACGTATACATTTTCTAAAGGAAGGGACCTCAATCAGCCCATAATTCACCTCGAAAACGACCACCACCAAATTGTGAAGTGTATTACAGATTTCCCTCTTGGGGTGCTCTACAGCTTGTCACCAGTAACCCAGTCAGCAAGGGCAGGGCCTTCAGAGAGCTGGGAAGGGCATCCCCATCCAGTCATGGCTTGGGATGTAGGATAGGGGGCTGGAATAGGGCCAGGGACCAGAGGTCCCCGGGGCCCGGGGGGCGACGGCAGACTAAGTCAGACTCACCTGGATTTCTCACCTCCAGTTGCTTTTGGAGAAGCCACAGCAACGCCCCTACCCACCCCTCCAAGGGTGTTGCCTCACCTTGCACCATGAGCTGGGCCTGGGTGCGGACCTCTCCAGCGCTGTTCCAGGCTTCACAGGTGTATGTTCCCGTGTCCTCTGGGAACACCTCCTGGATACAAAGGCTGTGCCGAGCGCCTCTCTGTTCAAAGTGGAAGTCCTCCGACTCCTGGATCTCATTCCCATTGTGAAGCCAGATCACCTCAGGGGGAGGATTCCCTGAATGGGACAGGCAGGGACCAGTCAAGGAGGTATTTCCCTAGTCACGTGGCAACTCTGCACTTGATACTGCAGTATTGTGCTAAATACTCTACCAAACTCTCCACGCTTCAATTTCCCCTTCTATAAAACAGGGACTCTAACAGTATCTGCCTTGCAGGTTTCTTGGGAGGGCTAAGTGAGTTAAGCAAAACTCCCATAGTAGTCCATTAGAATAGCATCTGGAATGAAGAAAACATATGATGCTAATTCATCATAATTATTTAGTAACAGATCTGGGAAATGAGAAAGAAGTGAAAATATGATTTCAGAGATGAAGAGGAAAACACAGGAAGGATGGTTTTAAAAACTGGACTTCAAACTAGTTGATTACCCTAAGAGGTAACTGAGTGACTGAGTTCAAACTGAATGTGTTTTCTGCAGGCATGGTCTCACACCTGAATCCACACCCAGGCAGTGGTAACTTCACGATAACTCCTTTGCACAGTTTAACCAGAAAAAAAACCTCAGTTAGCATTAAGTTTTGTGACAATAAAAATGATGCCCAGGGTGAGGCTGGGCACCAGCTTGCACAGGATGGCCAAGCACACCTCTTAGTGCATAGCATTTTCCATCCATACTAGTCTATTCTTCTGGGCAGTTACTAGGGGTTTGTTGGGGGCATAGAACAAGGGCCACTGGTGAAAGTTTCTTATCCTGTAAGAGCTGAGCCACAAGGCTTTGCTTCTGGAGGAGCTGGCCCCTGGATCGGGCTGCGGATCGGGCTGTGGAGGCAGGCTACATGGAATCTGGCTCTGGGAAGGCTCACGAGAGAGCAGACGGCCACTCATCTGCCACTGGCTTGACCTTACGTGCCTGCAGGCCAGATGCAGGAAGCCTCTGATCTCTTCCAACTCCAGGACTCAGTGAGCGACATGGTGAATGTGAGGAGGGGAGGGGACCCAGCCCTCTGCCTGAGACTGTGTGGGATGCCCCAAGCCTGCAGGAGTAGGGAGTCTATCCAAACAACCCTAAAAGGTGAGCTCATGGGTTTTCCCACAACTCTTTATTATTTCCATCTTTATTATTTCCATGACTCAGTAGGGACTAAAAGGCCAGGAACACCACCTCCAGGTTAGAGGCACTAATCTATGGCCTAAAACACGGATGAGCTCAATGGCAAACCATAGCTGCCCCACGAGAGCTGTGCCTGGGGTCCCTTGGGCGTCTTTTGATCACTTCTAGTAAGGACCGAGATAGTTCAGACTGGGTTGCTAATTACACACTCTTGTCTCCCTGCACCTGTTTCAGAAGGACCTCTGCTGCATTTTTTCCCTTTAAAGTTTGAATGGAGCAACTGAGAACATGTTCTGAGAGTTGCGAAGTTCTCACATAGTCCAGATTTTCACTGGTCTTTAAAAACTTCCAGCTAAATTGACCATACTATGTTTTTACATTAACCTCTCATCCTTTTAGCTGTGACCATCTTTTTCTCCTAGACCACATTTAACCTTAAATCAAGAAAATCCTAAACAGAGCAGAAAACAGAGGCTAAGAAGCTCCACGCTTTGGGACTAGCAGTCAGTGTAATGGCTATGTTGCTGAACTCCCATGTAGTCGACCGCAGTTCGAGTCCCGGACCTGGTGGCTTAAACTCACACCGGGCGCGTGTGCATGCGTGCCCAAGATCCCGAGAGGAGAATGGAGGAGAAGGGATTGCAGCGTGGCCATCCCCCCTGGAGGGGTGATTTCTCGCTTTTCGTCTCTGTCTCTCTCTGTCTGGCGAGCGCATGCGCCCTATAGCAAAAACCTCTCCAAAAAAAAAAAAAAAAAAGAAGAAGAAGCTCCATTCTTTACGTCCATTTCCCAGTGGTTCCATGCCAATTCCCTGGTAGGTCAATGACCCATGCAGGCCCTTGAGGAGCAGTACCCATGTTGCAACCACGACCATTTTCACGTACACTCCGAGGAGAAAGATACGATACAGAGACAGACCTGACACCTGGACTGTCATGGTGACCTGGCTTCCATCCATGACTTGAAGATCGGAGAGGCCCTGCAGGAAGGTGGGTGCAACCAGCTTGCTGGGAGTCAAAGGTTGAGGGGGCTCGCTCTTCCTGTTACTCTTCTTTTCTGCGTGGTAGACAACAGAGTGTGGGGTGAACATTCATTCATTCGACAAACACAGACTAAAACATACCTTGGTACATGACTATGCTGATGCTCAGGTCCTGACCAGGAGCTGACTGCTAACAGATAAAGGGCGGTTGGAGGCCCGCGATGGTGAGGAGGAAGACATCTCCCATCTCTCTGCTCGCCATGACCACACTCTAGAAACATGCCCAATCTAGGCTCTGGCTCCTCAAGAGAACTTCCAAAGGGAAGGAGAATACTTGGCATTTTATGAAATTTATTTTCTTAATTTTATCTACTTTTTGGAATAAGTGACACATTTGCATGGCACAAAATTCTAAAGGGACCAAAGAGTATTTGTAAAGGCTCCATCCCACCACCACTCTCGGGCCATCAAGCATCTGTCTCCCCAAGTCAGCCAATGTTCATCTCTTGATCGTCTACTAGAGACGATCTATGTGTCTAATGTGCAATTGGGTCGATTCTTTCACTTTCTTCTTTTCTTAATTGTCAGAGGGGCATAGATTCACCAGAAAGAGAGAGAAATAAAAAGCACCACTCAATGAAATATGGTCATGCCGCATCCCTTCTCCATTTCTCCATCCTGTTGGAATTTTTGAGCAAACATACTTACACAACCTGCATGTTTTTCAAGATACAGGAGCCAGAACTCAAATTACAATTGGCTATGTGGAATCTGGCTTCCCTCAATCATTAGGCTATAGGGCCCGCCCATATTTTCTTCTGTTTAAAAAAAAAAATTACAGCACACTATACACAATGATCTGGCACTTGCCTTTCAACTTAACAATATATCCCGATGTCGCTCTTAAAACAGAATTATGCATTGGCAGGTGGCATGGTGGTTAAGGCACTGGACTCCCACACGACCGACTGCGGTTTGGGTCCCAGACCTGGAGGCCTGCTTTCTCATTTTCCTTTTCCCTCTCCCTGTCTCTCCCTCCATGTCTCTCTCTGGCGAGCACATATGCCCTTCAGCAAATTAAAATAATAATGAAAATAAAATAATTGAAAAAAAAAGTAAAGAACTGAAGAGCTCCCTGACCAATTTTTATGATCAAATGGTACTCCAGTCCCCATCTTAGAAGGTTTTAAGCACCTCAAGAAGGCCGAAGACACTACACTAACTGAGATGGCTAAAATGAAAAAGACAGATCATTCCAGGAATCGGTACTGATGAGGATGTGGAGAAGCCTGGAACTCTCATCCCTGCTGATGGGAGTGTAAAATGGGCACACACTCTTGAAAACAGCTTGGCAGTTTCCTAAAAAGTTAAATGTATATTTCCCATATGATCCCGTCATTCTACTCCTGGGTAGAGAAACGAAAGCATGTATCCACACACGGATTTGTACATAGACGTTCATAACACCTTTACTCACAACAGCCCTGCCCTGGATATGAGCCAAACATCCAGCACCAGGTGGATAAATGAACATGTGATAAAGTCACACAATGGAATATCACTCAGCAATAAAAAGGAATGAAGTATTATATTAAGAGTCACTGCAAGAGAGATAAATCTCACACTAATTATGTCTGATGAAAGAAGCCAGACAAAAAAAGAGTACATATTAGATGATTCCATTTATATAAAATTCTAGAAAATGCAAAATAGAGTGACAGGAAGCAGATCAGTGGTTACCTGTGTCAGGAAGTAGGGTTCTGGATTATAAAGAGACATGAGGAAACATCTGGGGGCAATTGAAACAGTTTTTTAAAAATTGTGGGCCAGCTGGTGGTATGATGGTTAAGGTGGTTGGGTCCCACATCGACTGAGCAGTTCAAGCTCTGGACCCAGTACCTTGAAAAAAAAATGCAGGGCATGTGTGTGTTTGTGCCCCAAATCCTGAAATGGAGATGGAGGAGAAGGCACTAGTGTGGCCATCCCCCCCTTGGGGTGCTTCCTCACTTTCCTTTCCTCCCTTTCTCTTTCTGGAGAGCGCACACAGCCTATAGCAAATGAAACACAAAAACTGAGGTCAAAGTTTCACAGATATATACGTTGTGTAAAACTAAACATCTTTTTATTTATGTATTTACTTATTTTAGGGTTTTTGTCATAGGACATATGTACTCGCTGGAGAAGATAGAGAGACAGAGAGAGAGAGTGAGAGGGAAATCAGTGAGAAATCACCTCCCAGGAGGGATGGCCATGCCACAATCCCTTGTTGTCCATTCTCCTCCAGGGATTTTGGGAACGTACGCACATGTACCCCGGTTGATTTTCAACCATCAGGTCTGGGACTCAAACCTTGATCAGCCATGCGGGAGTCCAGCACCTCAACCACCACACCACCCTTTACTCCCCGTAAACATTTTAAATCTATGCAGCTTCTTGTATGTCAATAAAAAACTAAGGTAAAAAAAAAAATCACTCTCTGAGAGATGGAGAGGGAGGAAGTGCACCAGCTAGCCAAGGACATGGATTTGAGCAGTGTACTGGGTACGGGGCCGGCCCACTCTCCTGCTCAGCTCTCTGTGGAGACAGGGAGTCAGCAGGCTTTTCGTCATTCTTGGATCCCATATCCTGAGCTGGGCTTTGACATTGCCTAGGGAGGAGCAGCAAAGCGTCTGGGCTGCTGTCTATTTCACACACAGGAGAAGCCCCCTGATGCTCAGTCTCTAGGCCCCCTTACCCCCTTGTCCTATGAGCTAGGTAGCTCTAAAGAATTCCTTTCTAGGGACCAGAGACGGTGTAATGGTTATGTTACTGGACTCCCACGTGGCTGACCACGGTTCAAGTTCCAGACCTGGCAGCCTTAAACGCACACAGTGTGTGTGTGTGTGTGTGTGTGTGTGTGTGTGTGTGAAATCCCAAGAGATTGCAGTATGGCCATACCCCCTGGGGGGTGATTTCTCACTTTCTGTCTCTCTGGTGAATGCACACACCCTATAGCATAAACCTCTCTCTCTCTCAAAAAAAATATTCCTTTTTAGCTTTTTATTTATTTATTTTTGGCAGGTGCAGAAGTTGAGACTGGGAGGACGAGGATCTCTCTCACATAAACTTAGTTTTTTGGGAAAAGGACTCAAGACCGTCTTCAGTAATCCTGGATGATGGGGACATATTCCTAGGGTGTTTTACATAGTTGGGCAAGGCCTAACTCCAAACTTGCTACTGAATTTCTAACTGTTGTGACTTAAAACAAAACCTGGCCAGCTGCAAAGCTCTCCTAGCCTAGACTCTGGGAATGTGCATGGGAAGAGGCTGGGAAGGCCTGGGTGGCTGGAGGAAAACATTCCCCAAAGCAGGTGCTATCTGGAGGAGGGCACAGCAGATGAGCCCCACCGTCCCTGCCAGGAGACAATGCTTTCAGCCCCTGCTGCTCTCCTATGCCCCAACTTGGGCACTGAGCATTGCTACCTTTGCAGCCAGGGCGGGGGCAGCCAGGGGGCCTTGGCAGAGGCTCTGGGAGTGGGCTTGGAGGCCCAGTGTTGGAAATACGTAGATCTATCTTGTTTCCCTGACTGAGCCACAGCGGTCAAGAAAGCTGGCTGCCTCGGGAGACTTGAGGAATTTCCTGTCTTACACAGTCTGAGAAGGCTGAGGACAAAATGTTTTCGCTTCTCCAGAGCACTCCCTGTTCCTGCTTCTCCACTGTCAGACACAGCCTCGGCTCACAGAGCTCCATGCAGATGGGCTCTGGCTCCCAGGTGCTTCAGGAACATCATGAACTCCGGCGTGCTCTTCCGTAAGCTGGTGGCACTGTCCTCTCCAACTCCTCCCTTTAGGTTCTGCCCACAGTCCCTGTTTCCTGGCCTGGGGCTTCAGCAAAGCCAAGTCCCTCTGTGGGTTTCAGCCATGGGGGACTAGAACCCTATCCAACCTCCCTCCCTTGAGAGTTCGGAAGTGTGAGTGAGAGGATGGCCTGGGGACTGCCTCTTCGTGGCAGGTCACTGGTTCTTTGGAGGTCCACGGATCCCCTGTAGCTGTGAAGGAAGTAGAAGGTGCTGCTCTGGGAATCTAGGGCCTGGGGTCAAATCCTGGCTTAGGACAAGCTGCTACCTATCTCTGGAGCTCAATTTCTTCATCTTTCTCTAGGGGTAGTAATGGTACAGTATCACTGGACTTCAGGGAGTAGTGAGGGGATAATACGTGAAAATATTTCCTACAACTCCTAAGTGTCAGTGAAAACGTTTGCATGACACTGGCATGAGAACTCACACCTATGCACCTGGGCTCAGTTACTCCATGGGCTTATCAGCAGCAAAAGAACCAGAGAGACTGGGCCCTCACCCAAGGGTTGCAGACTCACTTTCATGTGACCTGAGGCAAATACTGTCAGGAAAACAAATATCCTGATTAAGTCTCATGGGATATATCTCAAAGGAAATTGAGAACAAACATTCTCTGCGCCCCCTCCAGGAGATGAGTGAGAGTGGCTGAACTTGAACGAAAGTGGCCCTGGGGAAGGTGCTGAGTTCCAGTGTCACCCGCTGCCTCTGACGCTGTTCCTCATCCCCGAATCCTACAGCAAGATGAAGGAAAGGAAATGACGGGGAGTCGGTGCTCAGCATGAACCTGTTCTCAGGGTTGCAGACTGAGGTTCCTGTTTGTAAGACCCCCCCCACCCGCCGCCAGCAGAAGGGAGTGAATCCTGGCTAGTGAGTGTCCGAGCGCCCGAGCAGTCTACCACCCAGATTCTTCGCTGGATGAGAAAAGCGGCCAACCTTCCCTCTGAACACGCATCGCGTTAGGGTTAAGGAGCCAGCAAGGACCTTAGGTACTGCACAAGTGGCTTCTGTTAGGCAGCCTGAGTAAAGCAGCCCGAGCTACATAAAGAATCCCCAGTCCTTACCCCACCACCCTGCTCGATTGACAAAGAGCCTGGAACGTGCGAACATGAAGTGTCCTGTCCAAAGTAGCAGAGCCCCCACAGGCAGGCTGAGCTCATGCCCAGGCCTTCTGGCGACAATGCCAGGATGCCCTGTGGGCGTCTTTTCCAGGGAACCTGCCTTCTCCAACCATGACCATG